GCTTCGACATGGTTTATATGGGACCATTTGGTTTTCTTCCAGGTGCCAAAACTTCATTAAAATTTGTATTCTGACACCTTTTTTATGATTTCTGTAAAGATGCACACACGTACTTCTAGTCATTTCCTCCAAAAATCAATATTTTTCTGTATTCTCCAAAAAATTTTATGTTGTTCTTTTTGATAATATGGCTGATATTATTTTCAATATTTTCTATTTGGAATAGAAAAATCCCAGAATATTAGTACTGGTGTAACGAAAAAAATTTCTTAAAAAAGCTTATTTTGCAGATTTCCAATATTTTTAAGGAGGGACACAATGCAAAAATTTTTTCCAGTAGATTCATGGAGGAATATCCTTTGAATCTTGCTTGGAATAGCTGTAAAACATATTCAGGCCTTTACGCTATGCAGCTTGAAGCTTTTCCGATTAGTATGACCAATGCTGCATCGCCTGGCGGCCAGTCTTCTGCCGTCTTCAATGTTCACTTTGTCTCCTGAAGAGATTACCATCCCAGTGGTTTTCATGATAGAAACATTTGGCAAGACTTACGCCGCTTCGAAGTGTCCGGTGATGCATCACGCCTCGTTTATTACAAGTTTAAGTGTGATGAATCCAACCAAACCACAGATAAACCCTAAAGATATGCAATAAGTTGAATTCAACTATCAATTATTACAGAAAAAGAGATGGCAGGAAAAAAGCATTGAGTTACCTTTTCCTGTTAATTAATTTCGCCTTTTAGCTGACCAGCATGAGGCCGCAAAAGCATAAATTTCAACCAGTTAAGTAGCCTTTAGTGAAAGTAACTTTACAATTCGAATTTAATCGCTTTGAAATAAGAATAAAACCACCTGAATTTGTGCAGTAAAGATGTGCATTACACCCAGAACGGTAAGATTACCTGGTCAATCGGTGTGGAGATTTCAGGTTATCGCGATGTTACTGAGGTGCTGTTGCATGTTGAGTGCAGCAACGCTACCTGCTTTGCAATTTCCTCGAAAGACTATACCAGTTACATTTCAGGATTTTTTCCGGGAAATGGCCGAATACAACACCGAAGATTTCACGCATTTTGTGCCCCAGATCTGGGAATGTCGTATTGTTTTTAACGACATGGAAGTGGTCGTTGTCGCTAATGATAAAAATTGGGTGGATGCAAGGTAGGCCATTTCTGCGCTCATTTACATCTATTAACATTTCATTATTTATTTTTTTATTTTTTTTATTTTTGAAGCCAAATGATATGAAATCACTATTGGGATGGACTGCTCACTGAAAAACTAGCCATATTTTTGTTTAAAAACTGAATTTTTAAGCAAGTAAGTCTGTTAAAATGCTGTGTAATGTCTGCTCCGGTGTCGTTCTTGTGCGGAAGCGGAATCGAAAAAGAAAAGCTTTCTCCCAGAAGGGGAAAAAAGCAGAATGCGGAGCATGTAGGACCAACACAACACGGTTGTCGCTGTAGAACCAACAAAAGAATTTTCATTTCTGCCCGTAACAAAAACATCTCCTAGTCAATATACGCATAAAAATATAATAAATATTGCAATACTTATGAAGCTCGAGGTGAACGATCTGTATGCAGTACGTGCCAAACAAAGATCAGTTAGGATAAGGATGGGAACCGGCGAGACTGATACTTTCTCGCTCATTTCCGTCACTTCTGCGCTACTAAATTCTTTATTTTCTAATAGCTGCACTTATATATGCTTTTAAGAAAAATATGTTTTTTCGGATCACAAGTTAATCAATATAATTTTTGCTATAATTTCAGTAATCCGCTGAACAATTTTTTGATGGCGTTAGTTGCCAAGCATTTAACCGTTCGATTCGATCTCGATTATACCGATTTTTGCCCGCAAATTGGTCATAGCAAGTATGAAGTGAAGGCCGGTGAAACTGTAGCTATCAAATTTCACGTGCCACAGCGAAGCACACTTTCGCCCGTGATTCATTCCCTTTATGAAAACACGTTTTACGCTTCCACTGGGCCATCGGTCCATGCGTCGCATCCCACCGGAACCGAAGTAGTAAGTTTTTACCACTGGTAGCAATAACACGTCCCGAAGCATGTTTTTTGGACGATTTTTGTGAAACTCCGAAACAGAGTAATATTGTCTCTGAACAAAACGTGCTTCAGAAAAGTCGCCAGCACTGCCTCATTCAATATTTTCTGCACACGTAGCCTATCACCTCTTGTCATCGCACGGGCGATTCGAGAAAAATGTACTTTCTTTTGCCTTCTGTAAAGCTAAAATACAAGCACGACATGTTGACAGCACAACTGCATCATCGCTCCTGAATCCATAATGCGTAAGTAAATTACTTAAGAATAGGAGAACTTCTAAAGCTCGGCTCGGCCGCGCAATATGCTCTCAGTTTTGGTTCGGGTTCGAACTTCCGAAACTGTGGTACTGGGTTTTGTCGCTTAAGT